GGACTCAGGGTGGTGTACAGCCAGAATTAAGAACATGAATTACAAATATTAAAAAACAATTAAAATATATATAAATTTGGCCCAAAAATTAAAAATCACAAACCAATTAAAACATTTAAAAATTTCTTCTTAAGCCAGCCCGGCTTGCTGGAAAAAGTTGGTTTTAAGGGCACGGCAGAAGGCACTGAGGTCTTGGATTCTCCTTATCTCTGGGGGCAACTGATTCCAGAGGGTAGGTGCCCCCACAGAGAAGGCCCTCCCCCTGGGGGTCACCAGCCTACATTGTTTGGCTGATGGCACCCTGAGGAGGCCCTCTCTGTGGGAGCGCACGGGTCGATGGGAGGTCGTCGGTAGCAGCAGGCGGTCTCAAAGATAGCTAGGCCCTATGCCATGGAGCACTTTAAAGGTGATGACCAACACCTTGAAGCGCACCCGGAAGACCACCGGAATCCAGTGCAGCTCACGCAGGAGCGGTGTTACATGGGAGCGCCATGCTGCTCCCGTCACTACCCGCGCTGCTGCGTTCTGGACCAGTTGGAGCCTTCGGGTGCTCTTCAAGGGAGCCCCATGTAGAGAGCATTGCAGTAGTCAAGGCGAGAGGTGACGAGGGCGTGAGTGACTGTGCACAGGGAATCCTGATCAAGAAAGGGCTACAACTGGCGAATCAGGCGAACCTGACAAAAGGTCCCCCTGGTTACAGCCGTCAGATGTTCCTCCAAGGACAGCTGCATATCCAGGAGGACTCCCAGATTGCGAGCCCTCTCTGTGGGGGCCAAAGACTCGCCCCCAATAGTCAGTGATGGAGTCAACTGACTATATCGGGATGCCGGGAGCCACAGCCATTCAGTCTTGGAAGGGTTGAGCTTGAGCCTGTTCCTCCCCATCCAGATCCGCACAGCCTCCAGGCACTGGGACATCACTTCAAGGGCATCGTTGGGGTGGCCTGGGGTGGAGATGTACAGCTGGGTGTCATCAGCGTACTGATGGTATCTCACCCCGAAGCCACGGATGATCTCGCCCAGCGGCTTCACATAAATGTTGAACAGAAGGGGCGAGAGGACCGATCCCTGCGGCATTCCACAGATGAGAGGCCTCGAGGTCGACCTCTGCCCCCCCTGCAATTTATCCTTCTGATCTTCCAATTTACTAAAACTACTTACCTCTTGACTTGACTACTGTATTTTTTGGGGTATAAGACACTCCAGACTATAAGACGCACCTACCTTTTTTTGGAGAGGAAAACAAGAAAAAAAAATCTGCCTCTGCCTCCCAGCAATTTGCCTCCTTGTAGCAAATAGCAAACAAGCCTGCTTTAGTCTCATTTTCATTTTCAGCACAGCCTGATTAGCACAAGAAAAAAAAATCTGCCTCCCAGCAATTTGCCTCTTTGCAGCAAACAGTGGACAGTGCTGTAGTGGGTGGGGCTACATTCAGTGTATAAGACGCACCCAAATTTTCACCCTCTTTTGGAGGGGGGGGATGCGTCTAAAAATACGGTACATACTTTTTACTAGATCTAAATCTAGTAAAACAACTACTAAAAGGACCATGGATGATATATGGAGGGGAGTGAATATGTGGGTCTTCTCATCCAACCTTATGGTTATATGGCAAGACAGGACTTGCCAGATATAGGTATATATGAAACAGGCTTTTGTAAGTCAGCTTTTTATCCTTTCTTTTAAGATCTCATTCCCAGGATTCTGTGGAATGAATACATATTCAATAGTGTAAAATATAGCATCCACCCCAGGGGTGAAATGCTCCCGGTTCGGACCGGCTCAGGCAAGTAGGTAGCGATGGCAGTGGGCAGTTCGGAGAACCAGTAGCAAAAATCCCTTCCACCCCACCCCAGACTCCAGCTTGCTTACCTTAGCTGCTGGTCGCAACGCCTGCCTTGCTTTGCTTGCTGTAATCCCTGCAATCCATTGTATCAGCAAGCAACTGAATCTCCCTGCCTGCAATCAAGCTCATCGGTGAGCAGCTCTATCTGCCTGCCTGCCTGTAAGTTTTTTTCCCCTTTGGGAGCGTTAAAAAAAATAGTTAATTGGGGTTTTTTTTAGTAGTTCTTTTTTTAGACCCAGCCATTTAAAGTTTAGGAAGTTTTAAATTTAGCTGCTTTTATGTAAAAATAAAAATAAAATAAAATAAAATAATATTTGTGCAGCTTTCTGAGATTTTGTGTGTTTCTGTAGTGTTTCTAACTACACAAACATACAAAATCTCACAAATCTGTATGTGGAATTTTGTATGTGTAAAGTGTGAAAGTTGGTTTTTTGGGCTTTTTGTGGCTGTGTGAGGTTCCTGCTTGTTGCAGGGGCCATTTTGGGTCTAGCACAGTTGCTTTTACCTTGTGGGTGAGCCAGTTGTGTTGTGTTGTGTCTTGTAGGTTAAAAAAGGGCAACAAAGTGACGTCGACTTGGCCATGCCCACCTGACCAACAAGCCACGCCCACCCAGTCACCTGACCAACAAGCCCCACCCACTAATTAAGCCACGCCCACAGAACCGGTAGCGAAAATTTTTAGATTTCACCCCTGATCCACCCTATCCTATTTTTTGACCATGAAAAAAAGCTCCCATAACAAAAAAGCTCCTATTAACAATCATGTTAAATGCTATATCTGGAGACAACAGATGGCTTAAGATGCAATACAAGTAAAATATATATATATATCTAAAGTAGGTACTCCAAGACCTATCAGGTAGCTGTAGCCCTTAGACAACTATCTCAAATTGAACCTTTGAACTTCAGTATCAAAACTGAGAATTTGATTTTAGGATACAATCTAGGTTAGTCACTGGAACCAGAGGTTTTTTTCTTCTGAGCTTTCGGACTCGTGCTGGAGTCTAGAGAGAAGTTTCCTGAAGATGGGCTCCAGCACGAATCCGAAGGCTCTAAAGACAAAACCTTTGGTCCCAGTAACTGACCCACATTGGATCCTGCAACATTATCCTGGGACACATATATTAGCCTTCATTCGTAATTTGATTTTAGCACATAGTATTAAAAGATAGGGCATTACTATTCCACTCACCCCTACTTCAAGAAGTAGGTAGGCAGGTAATGAGACTACAACATCTTGATCATCTTTAAGGGCCACTTTAAAGTTCCTAAGTAGTTGCAATATATTTCCTGCTATGCAATTCTCATACTCTCTATTGTTACACAGAATATTCTGCCCAGTTCTGGAAAGTGCATTGTAAGAAGAAAAAAAAAGGCAAACTAGAGTAAACCTCGGGCAGAAGGATATGGGGAATGGAAATCATAGAAAAAGTTAAAAGAGCTAGGCATATTTTATCTCAGGAACACAAGATAGGACAGATGTAAGTAACTGTTCCCAAATATCCAAAGAAACTTCCTGCAAAAAATAGAGCAAAATAAGTATGGCAAGAATGCATGGACAGAAGTTGCATGGAAAGAGAAGTTTATGATAGGAACAACTATATAACACCTGAACACATGATCTTGGTAAGAGTGTACCATATTTCACTAGATTAATTTGAAGCTCCTGACAGCTATTTGAGACATTGAAGTATTATTGTCTGTTGCAAATCTTGCACTGAAAACTGACTTAAGGGAACAGAGTTGGGTCCATTCTAATTCTAGGAATGGACCTGATTTTTTCCAAAATGATTCATTATACATCTTCAATCCAGATTCCTCATTTCATATTGTACACATTAACTTACCCAAGATTGATTGATTATTTATTTATTTATTTATTTATTTATTTATTTATTTATTTATTTATTTATTGGTTCGATTTATATGCCACCCTTCTCCGGAGACTCAGGGCGGTTTACAATGCATTAAGCAATAGCCTTCATACTTTTGTATATACATGCTTAGTAGGGCTTTCGCCCCCCACCCTAAACGGTGTTCTTTTTTATACAAAGTCAGCTTATTGCCCCCACAATCCGGGTCCTCCGGATGTTGAAGTTTTATCTATTGTTAAAATGTGTGCATTTCTCTGACACCCATATTCCATATTACCTTCCACATTAATTAATCCTATTTGCTCTCAAAATATTATTTAGATAAGAATTCTCTCCCAAAAACATGCCTATTAAATGTATATTTCAATAAACTGCATTATGACATTAAAAGAAACATAATAGTTTGATGGCTAACTATATTTGTCTGGGTAATATGAACTAAGGTCATTGTCTAAAGAATAGATAAGCAATACAAGAATTACAATTTGGTAGGACCTTTGGAAGTGAAAGTTGGACTTTGAAGAAGCAAGATGGGAAGAGTATTGATTCTTTTGGATCTTTGGAAAAAGATTCTTGAGAATACCATGGTCAACCAAGAAAACAAAACAAATTGATTATCAAAGGAATTAACTCAAAAGTCTCACCTAAGGCACACATTATCCTACTTTAGGCATATTATCTGAAGACCCAGCTCTCTGGAGAAGGCTCTAATGCTGGGAAAGGTAAAAGGAAAGAGAAAGAAAACCAACAGCAAGATAAATGGATTCTATTATAGTAGTGATGAATGCCTCACAGGCCTGGCATGATGAGCAAAAGGCTAAAGACTTCTGGACTTGGTGAGATGGAGAGAGGCCTGAAGCCTCCAAGGTGTAGCAAGGTGGGGAGCAGACCGCAGGAGCACTACAACAGACATAACTTCAGGTATGGGTCCAGAAGTCCCTTCATTAGCATTGTTTCTAATGGCCACTGAAGTCCTTGATCATAGGTCAAGGACTACCTATATAATCATATTGGGTCTGTTTAAAAAGAATTCAATGGGAAGGAAGGAAGAAAGGAAGAAAAGACAAATTTCCATCTTTTGCTGTACCAAAATAAATTGAAATGGAATTTTCAGGTAAATCAAAACGATAGGTATTTTTCATCAACTCAACCGAGTCCTTCTTTTCTTAAAACCATCTACACCCTTTTCAGCATTTTTCTGCAGCTACATAGTCGCCACGTGCCATGTTTTGCATGAATACTGAAGTAGCATTCAATATGTATTTAATATATTTAGCTTACTTTAATTTGCTTGAGCAGCAGCAGAACCATCTTGATTAATCAGCCAGGTCATGATGAACCATCTGCAGGGAAAGGTCAAGTGAAGATAAAAATTCACAAGAAATTTCTGTACCTTCATGCAAAAACATTTATGCACCCTCCCTTTCTGGAGGTACTGTATATGCCTTAACCACCAGGAAAGCACTGAACAGAATCCATGTGCTGATCTGACAGCTCTGTATTCTTTGCTTTGGAAACCGACTGCTTGAAACACCCACTTGTTCCATTCAAACTTCCCACTCATGGGCCTGAACATGAAAATAACAGTTCAAGGGAAGCTGGGGAAGAAATATAATGAATGACTGCAAGAATACCACCAGGGGAAACTTCTGTATCTCAGTTGTTGATGGTCAGAAGGAGTTCCAACACCAAGAAATCATAACAGGGGCTCATCTTTCCTGCAGAATAATCCATCAATGCTTATTCAATACTGTGCATGGATAAAAACAGGTAAGAGTGGCATTAACTGATTGCCAGTTAATTTCCTTAACTACTGTATATGCTGGTATATTCTTTTATGAGGCGTTAATATTTTTGTAAATGTCTAGCCACATGACAGATTGTTCCAAGACAGAGAAGAAGCTACTTGCTGCACTAACAACAAGATACAGGTAGCCCTCGACATGACATAGACTTACACCCATGCCTGAAGTTATGGCTGTTGCACTATCCCTGTAATCATGTGATCAAAATTCAGACATTTGGCACTAATGATTGCAGGGATGCTTCAACTCCCCTGCCCATCTATCTCTCCTATCTCTGCTCTTTGGCCTCCTTGCATTCTACCTTGCAGAGCAGAAAATAATGCCCTGGGAAGTTGCAGCCACCCCAGCCCAGTCCTAGCCACAGTCATCATTACCACCCTGTATTCCAAAGGCCTTGCTGCCTGCACTCTGTTGCCCCATCTTAACTTCACCATTTTCTTTCTCCCACTGCTGATGAGTCATGCCCAGTCTGGCACTTTATGTCAAGAATCCCCTTGGTTTTTCTTTGAAGACATTTCATGACTCATCCCAGAAGAGGATAGAAACTGAAGAAGCTTCTTGGATGAGAAGCAAAATGTCTTCAAAGAAAACCCATGAAGTCCAGTTGCCTCTTGAAAAAGCATCTTTGGGACCCTTGGCTGAAGCTAGCAAAAGCAAGTCCCTTTGCACCATGCTGCTAGAGAGGGATGGCTCTTCCTAGTAAGCCACAGAACTGGGGCTATTTCTTCCTTGCTTCCTTGCTTGTGATTCTTGTAGGGCACCAGGAAGCCCAGCCCCAACCCAAGACACAAAAAGAAGCAAAAGCCAGAAACGAATAAGCAAGATGCAATTCAAGATCCACGGTGTACCAGGAAGCCTTGCTCAAGCCTGGCACAGCAGTGTGGTACAAAGGGGCTTGCTTCTGCCAGCTATGCACAAAGGAGCTTTTTTACAGGAAGTGCCAGGCCACACACATCTTGTGAGCAGTGGGAGCAAGATGATGAAGGTAAGTGAGGCAGCTGAGTTCAGGACCGCGGGGCTGTCAGAGTTCAGGGTGGTGAGGGCAACAACAGCTAAAACAGGGCTGTCAATGCATATGTATACCTCTCTTTTGTGCCCTGATTAGTGTACACCTCATGACAGTATGACATAATGCAATTAATGTTGCTAGTTTCTAGGCAAGGTCTGTTTAATTTGTAAATTATTTAAATGGTACATTTTATATTTTAAATTTCATGTCATATAGCCTGTTTCCCCCAAAATAAGACATCCCCTGATAATAAGCCCAATTGGGGCTTTTGAGCACATGGCAATAAGGCCAAGCACTTATTTTAGGGTTCAAAAAAAATATAAGAGAGGATCTTCTTTTTGGGGAAACACGGTAGTAGGCCTTATTTTAATTGTGATGCTTCTGACACTAACAAACAACTTTCAGATAGGTTTTAAAGTGCTCTGTACTGCATACACTATATTTTGCTGTATGTGCTGTTGATGGCATTGTGGCCATGATGCACATGCCTAGGCAGACATCTTGAACTTAGCTCAAAAAGCTATTAGAGTGTTTAGCAGACTAGTTACCTAGTCTGAGTTAGCAAAAACTCTCTTAAGTTCCCTATCTTTATTTTCTTTTTCCCTAGTCTGACCATTCACAGTGGTTGAATCCAATATGGAAAAAATAATAATAACAACAACAGTCTCAATGTGGGGATCTGAGCAAAATGACAAGCTACTCCAGCTTGTACAGCAGCAAGGCTATGGCAACACTTCAGTAACAATGAGGCTGGAAACTTATTGAGATGGTTAAGAAATGTTAATATTTTGCAACGATGATGATCATCCAAATCATTAAATGGATTTGATTCAAAGCTCTTTGGATTTGCCTGGGGAAAGGAGTCTAAAAATAAATAAATAAATAAAAGCTTTCACCAGTCGTGCATCCCCTAGCCTGCCCTAATCACACACAATTTTCTGCATTATCCCCTAACCTCCTTGCCTAAAGAAGCTATATATAGGCAGTGTGACCTTTAACCAGCCTACCTACCCTGAGCTCAGCATGATTGCAATTTACAGACCATTTCTGCTCTACAGCTTTCTTAACACAAAGAGGGGGAGAAAAATCAAAACCCAAGCACAAAGCAAAAATAGTAACAGAAAATAACCCTGCAGCGCAATCATGCCTTGGGCTGCTCCAATGGCTCTTTCTGCTCCTTTGCAACATACAGATACGATTCCCAATGTGCTAATTACTCCGATTACTATAAACTCTGTGCTAACGAGGGTTGCTTGGAGGAGGGACTCTGTTGGTGTTTTGTTATTCTACTGTCATTAATACAGACCCAACTTTCTTAGTTTAGTGTAATAACTAAAAATGCTAAAAGACAGACCCACTAAAATTAGCCATACTTAGCCACATGTTATTACCCAAAGAAATGTGGCATTTTGCAATGGTCTAAAGTACAATAGAACAAACAAGGAAGAGCAAAATTCAGGACTAAGACATAAGGGGACTTAGGAGGTTGCTACCTCCCAAATAAACTCCAAATCTCTAGATTTCCATTTTTTAAAAAGCTAATTTTTTATCCTGAGATCCCAAGATAGTGTTTTATGACTTCCCTATCCATTCTGATTTTCATACATGTCTAGTTTTAAAAAGAAGACATCATGATTCAAAGCAAAACTCAAGCCCTCTCTTTTCAATTATGTTTCATAGTCCTGACATGAGCTGCAGAGTTATTCCTTGAAAATAAAAGTAGACAAAAATACGTAGCTAGAGACAAGGATCATATCATGTTCCTGTTTCACTCCTTGTCCTTCTGAGCTATCTAAAAGATGGTAAGTTTCAAAGTATTGTAAACTGCCATATATCTGACTTAGCTCAAGTCCTGCACTGCTACCACCAATGTTAATTGAATTGACATTGACATTGGTACAAACAAGTCTTCCCCACTAGTCAACATCTTTGAATGCAGCCTGATCCAGCTTGAGTCAAGGTAGAGTTAGAATATGTGAAATATCATCTTATACCCAGAATTAGCAGTTCCTCTCTTCATGTTGCTGATTCCCATAGAGTTAATGCCCACTCTTATTTGTCAAATAATTTATAATTTGCTAAAGATTTATAGTTGTCAACCCCACACCAAACTACAACAATGCAAAGAAAATAATCTATTGCAACATCAGAACAGCCTCATTACTTAGTACTACTTGTTTGTAGACAGTAAATTATCATAGGAAGACTCTGTGATCCTTAAATGCATTTTGCTAAATCAAGGATTGGGAAATATGCTATCGAATCAGATTCACAATCTAGTTAATTTATTCCAAAGATTTTTTTTTCAGATGACTCAAATGTAGTTCTCACAACATTGTATGAGGTCTGTGGAGCAGTTGCTCCTTTTGTTGTTTGGCTCTATCGTTTCCTTTTTTTCTTTTTCATTTATTTATTCTAAAAGGGAAAGGGAAAGGGAGTGACAGTATGTTGGAATTCCAAAGTACAGATATTATATTAAAAAGTCTGCAGAGCAGAAAGATAAAAATTAAATGAAAAAAAACAAAGCATTCCAATAGAAGAAATATCTCACATTTTCTTTCCTTGGATTAGAACAAATTTAAAGATAGTTTCACAACAGTTCAAAATTTTAGCACTTTCAAAGTTAATATTTAATTCTTATTAAAAATAATTTAGTTTACCTAAGAGACCCATATAATTTTTCTGTGCATGCACACACACATTCAAGTCATTCTTGACTCTGGAAACTATCTGGACAAGTCCATGCAATTTTCTTGGCAAGATTTTTCTTGACAAATCATTTGATGCATATTCTCATAAACTGCCATTCCTCTGTTGAAGGAATTAGACGTGCTTTTCACTAAAATACCTAAAGAATCCTACTGGCAATTATATTTGTACATAAATCTGTAGCATCAATTCATGTGAGCGATTTGGGAAAAGAAGTAGGGGAGGATTGTAGTTCAGGAAAAAGAAGTCCCATAGCCCAGTGATACCCACAAAAAAATCCCCAAGCATTTCAAAGTGATTCTGCCTTAATTAATTCATTATACATCTGGATGGCTATGAATGTGTTCTTACGGTTTTCAAGATTATATTTTTAATCCCAGATTAGCATTAAACATGCCATTCTGAAATTCATGTGATTCTGTCCTACATGTACAAGCTAATCAGGATGTGCTGACTCTTCATGCTGACTAGAACTTACTTTATTGAGACAGCATACACTAACATAGTTAAAAAATATATTGGTAGTCCTCACCTTACGATCACAATTGAGCCAAAAATTTCTGTTGTTAAGTGAAATTTCTGTTGTTTGGTAAGTAAGTTTTGCCCCATTTTATGATCTTTCTTGCCACAATTGAATCATTGCAGGTGTTAGATTCACTTAACAACCGTGTTACTAATTTAACTTCCCCATTGACTTTGCTTGTCGAAAGTCACAAAAGGTGATTGCATAACCCTGAGACACGAATCGAATCGAATAAAACTTTATTACGGTCCTCGACCAGCAATAGACATACAATAAATTAAAAATAATACTGACATT